TTCCCACTGTACTATTCTCTTCCTGGAGCTGCAGGAGTAGTAGTAAGCACTTGAGTAGGACAGAAGGACATGCCCTGATCCTCTGCTGAGCAGCTCTAGCCCACAAACAAAATACATGGCAGAAGACACTTCTGATGTTGGAAATAAAGTAGTAAACATTTTTTTATCACTCAGATACCATGCCTGTGAACAACAATGAAAGAGGAGAGGTAACGGCTGCTTGGCCTCTCTTTGGCATGTAACTCTGCCTCTGTTTAAAAACACCCAGCAAAAAGCCTGGTGCTGTTGTGATATGCAGAGAGACCTACAGCAGGTCACTCAAATCTAATCTGTATGTTATATAAATATTTCCTTCTTCCATGCACTCCTATTAGATAGTGCTTATCTCTCACTTTAGCCTTGCTCTGTGTGCTGTGCCAGTGCCTGCCACAAAGTGTCTCACAGCCCCACTGTGTCTGCCATGTAGTCTGGGGTAGAAGTGTCATGGAAATGAAGGGGAAGTGTCACCAGACTAATGGAGACACTGAGTCTTAAGCAGCAGTTCAGTGTAGTAACACAGAGCAGAAGTGGTCACCACTCAGATCTGGTGAGCTGTGTTCTGATCCACCACTTACTGTGCAGGAGAAGAAATACCACCTCCAGGAACGCGTGGATAAGGTGAAAAAGAGGGTGAAGGATGTAGAGGAGAAGTCAAAGGAATTTGTCCAGAAAGTGGAGGAGAAGAGCATTGATCTCATCCAGAAGTGGGAAGAGAAGTCCCGAGAGTTCATCGGCAATTTCTTGGAGATGTTTGGTCCAGAAGGCGCGTTGGTAAGGAGGTGCTCTGGGAAAAGGGGATCTTGGAGGGATCAACGCTTATTGTAGGGCTTCTGCAGAGTCTGCAGAGCAAAGGTTTAGGGTTTAATTGTGGTGCTCAGTGTGCTGCCTGTCTCCAGACAAGTTGTCCCAGGCATGGGCAGCCTGTTTTCAAGGAGCCCTCACCATTGCCAACTAGATAATGCCAGTTATGGTTGTAGGTGAAAAGTTCCTCTGTCCCATGAGCTGGCCTGTCAACTCCAGCTTGTGCCCTGTTGGCCACTGAGCTGCCAAGAGGATGGCAGTCACTTTGTCACTGGCCTGGGATGAGTCTGAAGCTACTTGTTTATGCCAGGCTTTCCTGTGCTGCTGGGTAAATATCACAGGCAATTCATGTTAGAAGTGCTTGAAAATGTGTGGTGATTACTCTGTGTGCAGTTTCCAAAGCCCAGAGTGATGCTAGGGCATTTTCTGCTCTTACATTGCACAAAGTAATGAAGGGACACAACTCTTGCTGCACAAGCTGTAAGTAGTGTTCATTTCCATGACTGTTTAAACTGTGCTAACTGTCCTCCTGCTTCCATCCCTAGAAACACATGCTGAAGGAGGGTAAGGGCCGGATGCTGCAGGCCATCAGTCCGAAGCAGAGTCCCAGCAGTAGCCCCACACATGACCGCTCCCCATCTCCCTCCTTCCGCTGGCCCTTTTCCACCAAGACTCCTCCTTCCTCACCCGCCAACCGCTCCAGGAATGAGTCTGCAGTCACCTATGACATCAGTGAGGATGAAGAGGATTAAGCTACCTGCCAGGATTTGCTGTGAACTGCTAATCGCAGAATCCTAAGTCCAGACCCAGCGGGGAACTCTAAATGAGCAAGAGAGCCATAGGAACAGGGCTGACGGTGAGCACAGGGCCTCGGAGGCACCCGTTGCTCTTAGCAAGGGCTGCTGCCTGGAAGCACATTCGAACCTCCTCTCCCTTCTTCTCCCCAAATCCCCTTTTTATTGTTTACGTTCTAGTGGTTTCCAGGGTGAAGACGGCTTTTATATTTTAAAAAAATACTCGTTAAAAGCGCAAAGAATAGCACTCTAGCGTGGCTTTTGTTTTGGTTTCTTTTCCCTTGTTAAACCTCCAGGCAAGAGGGAGAGTGGGAAGATCCATCTGTCTCTTCTTTCCTTCAGCTCCTCTGTCTTATCCCCCCACCCCCAGGCAGTATCTGTGCCACTGCCAAACGGAAGACCCCTCAGTTCCTCAACCAGCATGACCTCGAGGGCACTCACAAAGCAGTGGTCTAACAAGGCTTCTAGGAAATAGAGACCTCCCTGCTGGGCTGGAGCGATAGCAATCTATCCAGCAGACCCTGTAGTGCTCACAGGCCTCTAAACCGAGCTTCCCAGTGTGTCGCAGTGAGGGCGTGCTGGGCAGGGGTACCAGCTTGGCACGCAGGAGTTACACCCGGGAAGGACTCAGGGCACCGTAGAGTGGCACACCCCGTAAAGCATGCAGCATTCACAGCTCCAAAGTATACAGGGGCTGCAGGGGAAAGGCCTGTCCAGCTAACCTCAACAAGACTGCTAAAATTGAGCCCTCAGTTGCTGTTGGAGAGAAGAGAATGAATCTTTGCTTCAGGGCACTTGCTGTCTTTGCGTTTCCTTGGGTGTGTGAGAGCCCATGTAGGAAATGAATGTGTGTACTCTTTTGAAAAGTTCCTTGTCCCAGTCTGTGGTGTGTTATACGTGTCACTGTCTGTGCAGACGGCCCCTCAGCACTGCTCTGTGCGTGTTTGTGTTTCAGTTGCTGTGCTCTAAGGGCCAGAGCAGTCCTTTACACTGGTGCTGTGAAGTCGCTGTTCTAAGGGCAAAGCAGCCAGTTTGCTGTCCGTGCCAGTGTGTGCAGCTGGGCAGATGAAGGGCACGTTTTACCCCCATGAAGGGTCCCAGTTCACGTGACAGTTACCTGGTTTGTGCAGCACATGCACAAATTGGTGCAGGCTCACTCTGATCCTTGAGGCAGTCCAGAGAGAGCATCAGAGGGTGCTGCAGCTTTTTAAGTCTTTAAACATGTAATGCTTGTTTGAATCCATGGTCCAGTTGTGCCTGCTGTCGTGTCTGTGATACACACTGAGCTTTGTGGGCTGCAGCTCCCCGAGGGCACTCGCCCTCCCGTGCCTGAGCAGAGCAGGTCGGTGCACTGTCCCACAGCCAGCGCTGGAGGGACTGGCCTTGCTGTGTAGCTGTGGAGCTCCCGCTCACTTTTCTGTCGGGTTTGCCTGTGATTCCGTGGTCTCTGGGTGGAGCTGCTGGGCCGAGTTGCCTGTACCCTGCGGTGCTGGGAGCAGAGGACAGCTCAGAGCCCGGTCAGCAGTGCTGCAGGGAGGTCTCCAGATCGGGATGTGAGGCTTGGGAAGCAGCAGGTGCAAGGAGGAAACTCATCATGTGCTGCCACAAGCTCTGCACGATGTGATGCTTCCAGGGTACATGGTGGCCCTGTGGTAGGAACAGGCTGCAGCTTCTTTCCAGCTTTTATCTTGCTAGTCCTTTGTCATGCTGCCCAAAGGGCTTGGCAGAGACTGTGTGCTTCTGTTGAGTTCAGAGCCAGCATGGGAAAGGATATTTTGGGGATCCCTAATCTTCCACTTGGACTTCTTTCAGCGGGGATGTGTGTGGCTGTGGGAATGTGGCTGGCTGCTATGGATGCAAGGATGCTGTAAGGAGCAAATGATGGTCACTTGGTAGAAGCCAGTTGTTAATCCTCTGGTTTATGAGTGGTAGAGCACTTACTTTTTGTCATCCACATTGTCTCTTCACTCATCTTCCCCACCTTCCCTTCCTCACCCTTTCCTCAGTATGGGAGTTGCATTGCTTTCCTGAGCTGAATCACGAAGGCCAGGCTGCTTTAGAGCCTTACTACTGTTTAAAACACAAGTTATGCAACAGTGTTCTATAAATTTGGATAACAGTGGTGTTTTGGATGGTGGCTTGTTCTGCAGGGACCTTAACATATTTGGTCTCTCTGCAAAACCTGGGGTGCTCGGTAAGAAGCCAGCCATGGTTTTACATGTAGCTTGGAATAACAGAGCTGTTTCTTGTAACCAATAATCCCTGCTTCCTCCTTGCACTGAAATTAAATTGGACACTCAAATCCTAGTCTAGTCTTTTTTTCTTTTTGTTTTCCTTTGTTGTTTTGTTTTCTCCTGGATCGCTGGACCAGCACTGTCATGTCCTATCAGGAATAAGACATTGATCTTTCAGCAACACATGTGACCAAGTTTCCCAGGATCATCTTGTTCCCCACAGATATACCCAGTGCTGCTGCTTCAGGGCTGTCCTGCACACCCCTAACCCATCCCTCACTCTTCAAAAGAAGCATCTAGAAGAGACATGCTTGAATTAAGCATGAAGGAAGAGGTACAGTGGGAAAATAAAATTTTACTAGCATGCAATGAAGAACGTGTGGAGTTTGATGCTGCTAAATCCAGAGTCTACTCCTGCGAGACAGCCCTACCTCACTTTCTCTGTAGAGCTGGTGTAAGCCTTTAGGAGGGGATTTTCTGATGGCAGAGAACAGCAGCAGCAGAATACAGCTGAAAGGTGCCAAGGATGCTGGTAGAAGCAAGAGCATCAGAGGGTGCTGCAACTTTTTGGGATTTTAAACGTGATCTATTCATTTGAAAACACGGGCTAAGTTGTGCCTGTTCTGATGTCTGTAATGAATACTTGGAAGTCAAAAGATTACCCAGTGGTTTCTGCAAGTTGCAATTGCTCCTGATGTCTGTCCCCACCTCTGTTCTAAGTGTAGAGCAGATACTGGTACTGGGGCAAGGCTGGTTAAGGCAGCATTAACTACTTGCCTGTGTTACAAAGGCTCATCGAGGCTCCTCCTTTTGCCTGGCTCCAGGCTGGCAGGTGTGGATGCTCCCTTCTCTGCTTTCAGGAGCAGCTACTGCCATGGAGAACGTGCCTCAGTGACAGGCCAGACCCATCCAGAGGTCTTGGGAGAAATCACCATCACCCTGGCCTTGCCTTGGCTCTGGGACCCCAGGCAGCAGCACCCAGAGGTCATTGTCACAGCTGGATAATGGGCACCCCATGATGGTCCCATGCCATGGCTGTGCTGCTCTGGACTTCATCCTCCTCCCCCTGTATGGAGTCATCTCCCACCCAGCCTGGGCAGAGATAATATGAACCCAGTCACCAACACAAGACTCAAGTACAAATTCACCTTTTACTCAGTGCTAGACAAGAGCCCCCGTGCTGGAGGCAGCTTCACTGACCCCCTTGGCTTGTGGCTTTCAGGATTCAGACCCTTTCACTCGGTCCCAAGATGCTCTTTCCCCTTCAGCCTCCTCTGCTGCCTGCAGCTCCCCAGGGCCAGGGGAGGAGATGGTTGTACAGGGCAGACCAGCCCCTCACCCCACTCTGCCCCTTGGCACCCCAGTTTCTCCCTCCCGTTCACGGCTTGACGTCAGTGCCTGCAGGTGCAAAGCCGACGGGCTGGTAGCCCGGCTTGTCATCCTGCTTGCGGTAGTACATCCGCGTCAGCACTGCCAGGATGAAGGTCTGTGGGATCAACAGCTGCAAGTTCATCTCTGGAAAAGCAGAAGGGTCATTTGAAGCTGTCAACTTCCACCATGCCCCCTCCCCACGCCACGCCGTGTGACAGAGGGGCCCAGCCAGGAGCCCACGGTGCCGTTCCCCCGTCTCCCAACTTACGCTGCGATCTGGCCTTGGAGGAGAAGGGCGGCGAGCAGGCGATGCTGCCGCCGTTGGCCAGGATGCTGAAGATGGCAGGCTGCAGTGCCGTCAGGACAAGGAGGAGCTGCGACCACCAACACCACAGGTGGTGGGGGCTGCACCACTGCCAGGATCCCACCCTTCACCTTTCCCTCTGTCCCGCAGCCGGATCGGGCTCTCTCCCAGTGGCGGCTCCTGTCCCACCATCTTCCCCCATTCCGCCTCATCCCATCTGTGCTGCAGAAGGGGGCTGGGCAGGACAGGGGCTCACCTGGAAACAGGTGAACTTGCCCTGGATGTTCTGTTCAGCCAGGTGCTGCCGGGCCTGCCGGAAGAGGATGCCCAGGGCCCACAGCCCGAAGAGGGTAGAGGCACCAACCAAGGTGTTGATCCAGAGGGCCACACTCTCCGCTGAAATCTATAGGGGCAGCACACAGAATATATTCCTGGGCTGACAAAGCTGCTGGGAAAGGTGAGAGCAGGTGGAGGCTCCCTGTCTAGGACATCGCCCTGCCCATCCCTGTGCCCTGGCACTCACGTCAGCAGGGTTATAATTCCCATCGGCGTACAGGACCAGCCCCAGGAAGACAGCAACTGCCCTGCAGAAGGCATACTGGAAAGTCCCCAGCATCATCAGTTTAAGCTTTTTCCTGGCATGGAGAGAAAGACCAATAGCGCTCTGAGGTCCCCAAGCCCCTGCCCAGGGGCTTCTCTTCAGCCCAGCAGAAGCAGAGGCTGAAAGCCCTCCCCAAGGGCAGGGGTTTATCCCAGCTCTCCCTCACCTGTTCATGGTGATTTTGGGCAGGCAAGGGCAGCAGCAGCAGCAGGGCCCAGTGCTGACCACCATGGGCACATCCTTCAGGGTGCTGAGCACTGCCTCCTTCCCCCCAAAGCCCTCCACCATGACCTTCATCATGAGGCAGAAGCAGATGGCAAAGTACCTGGGGAGGAGGAGGAAGGCAAGTCAAGCCCCATGGGCTCCACAGTGCCCCTGCCCTGGGGCGGGTGATACTCACGTCGTGGTAGCCATCTCCACCACCATCATGGAGCGCGGGAACCACAGTCCGAAGCAGCTGACCACAGACACAACCTGGGGGAGTGTGAGCTTGGCACACTGACACCCCCCCTCCTGTGGGCTGGCACCCCTTGGGTGGCCCTGGCCACCCGGGGTGATGCCCCACCACCACCCCCAAACCCCAGCTCACCGTAGGGGCCGAGCTGCTCCAGCGAAGGGTCTTCATCTTGATGGGGCAGCGGATCTTGTGGGTCAGGTAGAAAGCCTGTTCCACAAAGATTGCAACTGACAGCAGCGTCATGATGGTGCAGAGGCCCATGATGGCGAGTTGGGCCATGTCCAGCTCTGCCAGGGAGGGGGGAGAAGCTGTCTTCATCCTGTCCTGTCCCTCCTGGGGCTGCCCCCTAACCCACCACCCCACATCTCGTTGTGCCAGAGCTGGCACTTCTGACCTGCTGCTCCCTGTCCCCTGTCACCTGCCCCGGTGCTGACCCTTCCTGGGCCATCCCCATCCCTGCAGGCAGGACTGTGGGATGGGAGGCTAAGACCCTGGCAGCTCCACACTGCCTCCCCCTTCCTTGGGGCTGCTCCTTGCTTGCAGCTGCTACGGCCACCCCACCACCTTCATCCCTTGTTGCTCCTGCCAGCAACAAGAGGAGGGTGTCCCCAACCCTGTCCCCCCACCTACGGTGTAGCAGTTGCTGGGAGGTGGGCGGCAGGGAGAAGCAGGCTGCTGGCACGCTGTAGTTCCTGATCAGCATCTCCACCAAAGTGCGGGAGAACCTGTGGAGCAGAAGGGAGTGCTGCACAGGGCCACAAGGACGCGGGGACACCCAGCCCTGCAGGATCCCTGCAGTCCCCTGGCTGACTTGCCTCACCCACAAGTGACTCCCTTAGCAGATGGAATAATCCAAAATTCTGCTGCAAAAAGTTAGATTTGCCTGGCTGAAAAGCAGCATGGGGGTCTCCGGCACCCACCTGGGGTCATCTGCCAGCTCGAAGGTTGGATCCATCCTGCTCTGCCCTCTCCGTCTCCGTCCCAGTGGCTGTGGGGCTGCTTGTCACCGCCTGCCTCAGCTCCCCTCGCCAGCCCACGGGGTCAGAGTCCCCAGGGCAGGGACCGCGGGCGGATGCCGCGCCTCGTTCCAGTTTAACCAGAGCCTCCAGTGCTCCCCTCCCTCTCCCGCTGCTGCAGCCGCCCATTGGTGTCCCAGCCCACAGAGAGCCTTGGCCGCCCGGTTATCGACCCGGGGTGGCGGGAAGGCGGCTGTCACCCCTGCCAGCAGTCCTGCGTGTCCCAGGGCACCTGTGCTGGGGTGACACTGCTGCATATCCCCAAGGGCAGCCCAGAGATGGGCTGGTGGTGCCATGGAGGGTCCAGGACGTGTCCTTCTGTCCCCTCAGCAGTGGTGGCAGAGTGGGAGGTGATGCTGCAGGGCGGTGGGAAGCTCGCCAGCTCCTGCGCGGCTCTGCGGGCCCTGTGAGGAGTTTGTGGTGGCTCAGCCCCAGCAGCCCCGGGGCTGAGCCTTGCAGGGAGCAGCTCCCACGGCACTAGGGGGCAGGGCTGGCCCAGTGCTCAGCCCCAGCTCAGCACCCCGGCCTCTGGGGACAACAGCAGAGCCTTGGCCAGAGGAGGGGGACAGTGGGCTAGAGGTGGCACACTGAGTAGGGAGCTGCGGTGTTAGGAGCAGTGTATCCTCGTCTTAGACAGATCTCAGCACCCTCATGGGTCCCAGGGGTGCCCACGGCTCCAGGTGTCCTCTCAGCACCCCAAGGAAAATGAGTACTGGTTTGTACTGGGTCCCTTTGGAGCCCTCCACCCTTTGCCCCTCTGGCAGTGGGCTCCTGCTGAAGCCAGAGTGGCACCAGGACCCCAAATGGGTGCCCTGCATCTTGCTGTGGGAGCAGGATGCTGCCATTTTCATGGGAATGGGGTGGTGAGGTGGGGTGATGCCTCAGTTGCTATGAGAAGGGGATGGGGAGAGGAGGGTGTTGCTGTGGGGGCTCTGTGCATGTTAGAGGTGACGCGCACACCTGGCCCTCCCCTCCCCTCAGCCCCATTAACCAAGCCCCATATCCCTGTCCCTACACACTGTACATGCTCCCTATCCTGCCCCATATGCTCTACCCCCATACTAACCTGGCATACTGCACGCTGCACAGCCAGCCCTGTGCACTCACACACACACACACACACACACTTACCTGACTTTGCACAAGCAAACCCCCCACAGGGGGTGACCACAGCCCTGGGTGCTCCTGGACCCCACGCGGTGCAGGGGCCCTGTGGGGGCCCCCCCACCCAGCACCCCTGTGCCACACCAGTATCACCAGCATTGTCCACATCTGAAGAAACATGTCAACTCCTGTGACGTCTGTTGTGCCGGCCTCTGGCGGTCACTGCTATGTCACGGCAGGCCTGCTCTCCTGCCTCATCTCCCTGGTGCTCATCCCCCTGCGGTCCATAACCACAGGCATGATCTGCACGTATCCATGGCCCCAGGGAAGCAGAGCCCTGTCCCAGCACGCATACACACGTGCTGCAGTGTGCTGTGCACACAGGCTGTGCAGGAGCCTGTTCCCCTGCCTGCACGCAGCCCTGGGGCCAGCAACACCCATGGGTGCCCACTGTACAGGGGCACATGGTGGTCCCCTTGCCCAGCACACCTGGGTCTGTCTGTCCCTGACTCTGCTCCAGCACCATCATGACCCTCCTCGCCACTGAGGTAGTACCAAAGCATGACTGAGCCCTGGGTCCCCTGTGTTCCCCAAGCACAGCACACCTCGAGGTGCCAGGTATGGCTGTGGGGCATGGATCATCCTGCCAGCCTGAGATGGGGATGCAGGACATGACTGGACCCCAAGCTCAGAGCAGGGGGGCAGCCCCACATATTGATGCTCCGCATGAGCTGGTCCCACCACGCATGCACACACATGCAGGAGGTTTCCATCATTGCACGCGCTCCCCTCTCCATCCTGTCTTGGTGCTGGATGCACCGGTGACACCAGCAGCACTGACCCACCTCCACCAAGCCCCCAGCCACATTACTCTGCCCAAGACCACCCCATCCCACCCTGCATGGGGCCAGGACACATCCACACACCATCACACCATCCTGCTGTGGACACCACCCCAGAGCTGTTGACACGGAGGGCTCTCACCCCTGCAGTTCATGGTGCTGAGCCCTCCCTGTGCCAGCAGGACAGGACGTGCCTCCTACTTGCCTGCTTCGACCTGTCCCGGGAGCTGGTGGAGATGGGTGTGGAGAGGGGGAATGCAGTGTGATGGGGTAGGCCAGGGTCTCCCCAACTTCTTATTTATTGCAGCCCCTATCTATGCTTGCGATCTATGATCCTGGGGCCATCAGGGTCTATGGGCACCCTTGTCCACCAGTCTTATAGGTTTAAACCCTTTGATGAATTTTCTCCACACCAACACACAGTTTTGAGGGAAAAGCAAGCAAGCCTTTCTGCTAGGGAGATAAACATAAAGGTTCAATTGTCTTTCTAGCTCTAATTTTAATGGCTCTTAATGGCTCTCCCATTGAAGAGCTGATGGCTTTCCCGGCAGAGATGGAATTCCTTGGTTTCTTCTGCCTATGCCCTGGGGTGGTGTGGGGAGAGCGGGTACGAGGGGTTTGGACTTGGGAGGATTTTTGCTCACTTCTTCCCTGGCTCGGGAGTGGGGAGTGGTGTGGAGAGGGTCTCCGCATTCATCTTTGTCAGTTCCACACGCCTCTGGTCCCTTCGACTTTAGCGCTCAGCTCTCGCCTTGCTGGGGCCCGCAGCGGCTCCCCGAGGGTCCCGACCCTGCACATCCTACGCTGGTTTTTTTGCGGACTATCACCGCCGGAGCTCGCTCCAGACTCGGCGGGGGCTGGCACTGTCCGTGGAGGAGCTTCCAACACCACCCCTTCCCCACCCCAAGGACCTCCCACCCAGAGGGTCCTTGTGCTGCCCACGGGAAGGTTCCCAGACCGTCTCTGCCACCGTGGTCGGGTGAGTCCTGGAACTCGGCACCGCGCTCTCGGCTGACCCTCTGCCTCCGAAACGTGCCGCGTCCCCTGCCGTCTGTGGTTATAACTGCACCGAAAGGGGAAGCAGTACTCAGCTGGTTGAAAGCGTCTGTTGTGGTGGTGGTGTTCGTTCTGTTTTGTTCTATATATATTTTTAGTAAAGAACTGTAATTCCTTGTTCTACATTTTTGCCTGAGAGCCTCTTAATTTAGAAGGATAATAACTTGGAGAGAGGGGTCTTCTTTCCATTCCAGTCAGGTTACCGCCTTCCTTGGCAGACATTTGTCTTTTTAAACCAAGACAACCAGTCACCTGTCTCCATACAGGCCGCTACCACGGCCAAAAGGTGGCAGGATGGGCAGGAGCCAACAGCAGGTGAGCATCCTCTGGCATGGGCAAAACTGGGGGGCAACAGATAGGTCAGGCTCCCACCAGCTCGACCTCAGCCCCAGACTCCCAGGATGCCCTTGGGCAGAGCAGCCCCAGGTACAGGGAGCCCCTTTCCTGCCAAAAATCTCTTCATCAGAGAGGGAAAAAGGAGCACTGAGACGGGAGCCACACACCTACCAGCCCAGGGCAGGAGTGGTTCGAAGGCTCATGACTCCCTCGGAATCGGGGTGGCTGTTTTGCCCTGAGGAGCTGTCGGAGAAGCCAGCAGCAGTGGTGGAAAATCTCCCCATTTGCTTGATTAGCTTTTTTATTCTAAACAAAACTCCTTGACCACTGAAATTCTGCCCCCAAAAAATAGTCAAGCAGACCCTCTTGGCATGCCAGCATCGCCCACGCTGCTGCTGTGTCAGCGTTCCCCAATACTTGGAAAATCCCTTGAAATGCAAATATTTGCATGGGTTTTTATACAGTTTTCCACCCGTTTCTAATTCCCTGTGGTTATGGCCAGAGGAGCTGACCTTGGTGGGCACAGCAGGCTCCCAGCCGACCATCACCAGCTTCCCCATGGCCAGGACATGTCAGGGGGTGCAGATCCTCCTGGAAGTCATAAGGCTGCTGCCACCATCTGCCTTCAATGCCCCACGAAAATCCACAACCTCCCAGTGCAATGGCCTTGGCTGGACCCCTGCAAATCCATCAGCATCACAGCACAGGACTGTAGAGGGGTCCCAGACCTTCGACCATCCCCCTGCAATGGTCAGCGTGGGGAAGTGACAGTGCCCCCAGCCCCGGCCCCAGCACAGTAGGAATGGGGCCGGCTCCCCTCAGCCCCGGGTCTGGAGCCGCCCCACTGATAGGGATGGCAGGGAGCCCTGCCCGCAGATGGCCCGTAGATAGGGCCCATGTGCTCCTCACCGATTGCCCCGAGAGGCAGCTGGTGGGGTGGGAGCTGCTGTCCCTGGAAGATATGGTGAGGAGGGAGCAGTGAGCAAGGAGGGCAGGGGGATACTACAGGCCTCTGTGGGTCCCCTTCTCTGGGGACAAAGGCATCTTGACTCCCCTGACAGCACAGCTGGGGTGGGACAACATGTAGAGCCCCTGGCAGAGCAATAGCCCCCATCAAATCCTCCCCTTCCCAGTGGCGACCAGTCTCTCTGACACTGGAAAACACCTCCCAGTGCCCTGCAAACCCACAGTGCTGCATCACGGCTCACTGTAAGGCAGGGTCAAGGACCCCACCATGCCTCAGCTTCCCCATCTCTAAAATGGGGCATGAGGGCATAGAGGGCTCAGTTTCTCAGTGCTCTGATGCCTGGGGAGAGAACCATGCCAGGTATTATTTATAGACTGAGCTGGCATTTCAGATGGGGGGACAGGCCCTGAGAGCCAGCCAGCTGCCTCCAGTCTCTGCCTCAAGGTCACCAGGAGAAATGCTGGCCTTGGAGGGGCTTGGGGTAGGAGTCCTGCTGGGCTCAGCCTTCCCCTTCTGTGAAGGGAAAATCCCCTTCTGCCAGCATGAGGCAGCAAGGATCATTCCCACTAGAGACACCAGCTCCTGAGCCTCCTGCCTGGGTGATGGGACACACCAGTGAGGTGGCTGCGATGGGGGAAGGAGACTGGAGGTGTGCAGGAGGAGTGAAGGGAGAGCTGGGGATTTTTGCTAACCAGAAGAGCACGCTGTTTCACAGAAAAGCCAGCCCCCGGATGTCTCAGCTTCTTGAGAGGCAGAAGTGATGCAGAGGGTGTGTGAGCAAGATCCTCCCATGCCCTGCTCCCCGCCAGCTCTGGCTCTCAGAAACACTGCCCAGCCATGGCCATGGGACCAGCTCCTGTGCACAGCCCTGGTGACACCGCCAGGGACCCTCCTGTTCCTTCCCCAGACAGA